TTTTTTTTTTGTTGGTTGGTTGGTTCGGCCCAATATGAACGCCGTCACACTCGACATGATAGCAGTTCTCAATAGACGGAAAGATCTTGAGCATGCATATGCGCTGATGACTTGCCACTACGTGGGAAATTCGACATGGACGCGCTTGAACATGCCGAATGTTTAAGCTTCATTTCGTTTTGAGATGTGCACGCACAGTGCATTCATTTACATGAGCTAGACCAAAATACCGACCGGTACAAATCAAATCGATCAAAACACTTCCATGTCTTTGAGAGATAGATTGATTGGTCGACGTCGTTGTCGTCGTCGCAAACACCACCGCTGCTAGAAAAACGACCAAACAAAACACACAAACACGGAATTTACTTTTATTGCTGTTGCTGTTGTTGTTATTATTACTATTGTTGCGCTTAATTCATTTGGCTGAGCGAGCGTGCGCTAGACTTTCATCGATTTACGAATCGATACATAATTCATATGCACACAAATCATTTACGTTGCTTTGACATGATCTGATAAAATTCAATGTATGTCAATTTGTCTTTTGGTATTGATCGCAATGTGGCTTCGGCTATCTGACTGCCACTCGCGCGCGCCTCTCACAACAAATCAAACTGTATGGTTGCTATCTGGAAATAGATCTACGTGTTATTGTGTATTTCAATCTTTATTTTTTTTTTTCTGCTTTCTGTTCTGTACTATTTGTTATGGACCCCATTGTCGGCCGCACATTTGTGGATTCACCGAAACAACAACAACAGCAAATGGAAGAGAATTCATCTGATTTTTGTTCTTTTTTCGGTTGCCACCAAAACAGTTCATCCCTACTAAATTCGACGCTTGTAAGCATTTTCGGTATTTTTCGTTACTTTTCCCTTCTTGTTCTTCTTCTTCTTCTTCTTCGAAATATTCGGCCAATTTGAAAATTAGATCATGACAGTGCATCAAAAATTGGGCCGATTAATTGCTTTGAAACGAATAAGAAAACTGAATAATCGAACAAAAAAACCAACGAACGAACGAAAAGAAGAAAAAAAAATTGAGCTAAAAATCAGTTCGAAAACGTCAAAAAGAAATTCGTAAAAAAAGTCGGTAGGTATTCATTCGAACAAAAAAAAATTGAAATACTAGAGAAGAGAGGAAAAAAAAGAATGGGAAAATATTGAATTTGTGTACACAGTGAGTGCAAATGCTCCGCATACATGCTTTTCGGTATCTCAAAACGTATAGATATAAAACGAAAAACGAAGTACACATCGCCGTACTTTTTACGATTGTGCTGGCTTTGTTTCTCTTTCTCGCGCACACTTTATTATTACATATTATTTCGCCGTGTTATTGTCTTCTCTCTTTTCTCTCTCTCTCTCTCTCTCTCTCTCTCTCTCTCTCTCTCTCTGTCGTTGTATTCTCTTCACTGTTTCACAGAAAATATACGGTTTTTTTTTCTGCTTCTCTCATGTGTGCTTCCGAACGACTGTGTAAATGGTGTGTGTTTGGATTTTATCGTTATTGTTGTGTATGCATGTATTATATCTTTCACTTGTGTGCGTGTGTATGTTTAATATGTTCGAAGCGACTGAGAATTTGAGCTACCTTTGATTGGGTTATCCGATCCCGAATATTCTAAGCTTATCGCATTCGAATTGCAAATATTTTCTTTTTCTTCTCTCTTTCTCTGTTCTGCCATCATCATCTCTGTTTCATCGTGAAATGAAATGAATTACACGAAAAAAAAATACACACCATAATAATAAGAAATATTAATTTCAATTAATTAAATACAATTTTCCACCATCATCAACAAAAACAGCCGAAGATGAAAAATTGACGAGAAGACCAAAAACATCCACCAACCGAATAAAAAAGAGTGCATAACCGAAAAAAAGAGCGCTATAAGTAGAATTTCTGTCGTGGCTTAGATCGGTTAAGTTTTTTCGGGATTGGCTGGTTTTCTCAAAGGTAGCTTGTATAGAATAACAGTGTGCCGCGCGCTTATATACAAAATATGCGTTCTGTTTGCAACGTTGCCAAATTTACCATTTGTTTGCGCTATGTGTAGAATGTAGTGTAGTACTTTGGTTTCTGTTTTGCCGTTTTTTTTTTGTTGTTGTTGCTTACGTTTTTTTTTTATTTCGCTTCAGCTCTTTGTCAGTGTTGCTTTCGTTCATTATAGCAAATTTGTAAAGAGTAGCAAACAGACAAAAAATTCTTGTGTTTTTTTTTCTGTGTGTTGCTTCTATTTCAAATGAGAAAAAAAATTGTGCGAGAGAGAGAGAGAGAGAGACTGTGTGACTGAGTAAGGCAGCCAGCGAGCGATAGAGAGGTAAATCCACATTTTCGCTACATCGAAATTCGTCATTTTGTCTTGACGCGCACGGCCAATCAACCAGCTCGATTCGGCACCAATAGATGACATGACATCTTCCAAACACACCACATCGTTGCCGTTGTGGTTGTTGTCGTTGTTGCTGCTGCTGCTACAGCTACGGCTGCTGATGAAGATGCTGCACAATTTTGCACGTTGCCACTAGTTGAGGAATGATGGATGCAAGGTAACTTGACTATTCGTTCCATGGAATTTCGCTCACCGAAACAATCTCCTGAATTAGGTGAATGGTGAATGTTACCAACAATGTCATTCGCAATTGGCTCAACATTTCTTTGAGCGAGAACGAGTTAGCCAATGTACGAAATGGAATTTTTTTTTCAGCAGCAGCAGCGATGGCATTAACATTTTTTAGAGAGAGAGAGAGAGAGAGAGAGAGAGAGAAAAAATGTGTGGAATGAAGCGGTAGACATTTCAAACGACATGGAATGATCCTGTGAGAGAAATGCTGCAACAAGAATTTCATTCTACTTTAGCTCTATCTCAGGAATTATTCCATATTGGTCAATTTCATTCACAAAATCCGCAGCGCATGCACGACTATTTCTCCCTCTTGCTCTATCTCACTCTTTCTTTCTCTTGCTATCCCGGTCGCTCTCTATTTCAAATCAAATCGTAGTTAGTTCGCACGTTCGTTGGATGGTACAAGTGCTTTGGATTTCGCGGGGGAAAATTCCCAAAATCCGTCTTTGCGACGATCGAGAGTATTGAATTTGTAGATTTCACAAAACTCATCGAAACAACGTCGACGACAACGACGACGACGGTGATGACGATGAGCGAGAGCAGAGAATAAGAAAAAAAAGGAAAAATAAAAAGAAGAAAAAGAGAAAAAAACATACAATTTCGATCGAGTTCGACCAAGAATCATTTGAAGCGACAATATGTACAAGTATATGTGTAACATTCGATAATTTTTGCGTGCGTTCTATGTGTTGTTTTCTACAAAGCGCACCAACAACAAGAACAATTGCGACCGAGAAATAGGTACACATTTTGAAAAGGAGCATTTCTATCCGTGTGCATGAGTACACGATTTTATACACACCAACTCAAACACACACACAAACACGCGCAAACATATACACCCAAGCACATATGCACGCGCGCACCATTTACACAGCGTGCCGAACACTAAAAGAGAGCAAGAGCGAGCGAGCAAGTGATAGAGGAGCTATGTGTTGACGACGCATAGTCGAGTGACGATGGTTGTTTGGGTCTTTGTATGTATTTATGAGCTTTGTGTCTTCTTTTTCCGATTTCTTTGCTGTTGTATGTGTGTGTGTTATTTTTTTTTCCTCTTCTTCTCTCCCGTTCTGTATTCGCTCTGCCAGTTTTGTGCTTCGTTTTCATTGGAGATTCCGAAATTGTTGTAAAACTTCTGGGTTTCACCAAAAAAAGAAACCGATGCGCTGCTGATATGTATTGGAACGATAAAAAAAAATCAAGTGTTGGCGAAATTCGGCTCAAAATTTAATTATCAAAGTCACATTTGTGCCACAGTGTCATCATAGTTTGCACGATGCCAATGAAGCTGTCGATAGTGAAGCATAATGCGTGAGTTTGCGTTTCGCATATGTGTACACTGTATATGCATCAAACACACCGAATGAACGAGAAAGAGAAAGAACGGTTTCGATTCTCGAGCCCGAAAAACGATTAAGCCGATGTGTGCTGTGCTCTTAGAACACTTGGCTTGGTACGCGCATAATTCAAACCTGCGAAGCGTTTTCATTTTTCGAATTTTCAAATCAAATTCGATTCAATGACAGTTTTGGATCAACGATCAAATTTGATAAGGCAAACACGAATGCCATGTCGTATGCGGCGGCGGTGGCGGCGACGGCAGAGGACAAATATGTGTATTGTTGCTTGAAAATGCTTGAAACTCGCAAAACCGAGCAAAATTTCATGGAAAAATACAATTGCAGCACAGCGCCTCGTCGCAATTCGATCGAGTATTTTTTTTTTTCCGCTCTTTTTTCGCTCGTTTTTTTTTCTCTCTCTCTCGTTCGGTTGCTCTTTCTTTTGGACGGTCTCTCTGTTACTCACATCGCTCTGTGCAAATCGATGCGGTCGCATAAACCGAGATGATTTTTCGTAATGATAAAATACGAATTCGACTCTTGACTACCAGAACAAAATCGAGTGTGACAGAGTGAGAGAGACCTAGAGAGAGAACGAGAGAAAATTCATCCACTGTACATGAATGCATAGATAGAGGATGGATGGATGAATGGATAGATGATGGATAGATAGATAGGTGGAAGAGTAGGTATACATAGCGCGTTGTGTGTGCCGTCTGAAAATCGTTGTCTGGTGCACGTTCTCGAGGTTCTGAGTCTTTTCTTCTCTCTCACTCACTCATTCACTCGTTCTCTCACCATTTCCACCAGTGTTACCGATTTTTCGGCAGCGCAAGCAATTTTCAGACGGCGCACGTGTCTCAGTGTGAGTATGTAAAAACGTATTGAGAATTGCTTATGTATTTATGTATACTGGCTATGTATATAAAATATATAGTTATAAAATTTATATTTGTATTTATATATATATATAGATGGATGTGTGTAAACGATTATTATGAATAAATGTGAGTGTTTATACGTACTTTTCTCTGGCCTGCGCATCCGACGGCACCGATGAGTTTTTCGATTTTCCATACATTATTTAATAAATATATAAAATATATAAAGAACTATGTAATATTGAAGTGTACATACACGATGTATATACACACAAATATTGTTATTTCTCTTGGCTCGCTGTATTATTTCTTCTTTTTTTTCCTCTCTACTTCTTCTTTTTCTTTCTTTCTTTCTATATTTCGGTTTTTTCCTTTCGAATATATGTATATTGGATAGTGTTTTTTTTTTCGGTGTGTTATTTTATATTCGCTTCTATACTCTGTCGCTATATTTCTTCTTTTTTTTCGCCGCGTTGCTCTTCTTTCTCAGTTCGCTCTTTCTTTCTCGTCTCCGCGATGATGTTGTTGTTTTTGTTTTTGTTGTTGCTGTTGTTGTTGTTATATTCCTGCTGTTGCTACTATAATGAGTTCTATATAAAAAGTTTCATGTGCAGAGATGTATTAAAAGTTGGTCGCCGTTTTATTGTTGCTATATGCCGATCGTATTGGATTGAATATTGTGTTGTTGCTGTTATTATTAAAACAATATTTTCGTTGAGTTCTTTTGCTTGGATTCTTCTTCGTTTTACATGCCGCGATTTTGTTCATTTCTCTCTCTCTCTCACTCACTCGTCCCGCTTTTTCAAATTTGATTCTTCAATATTTTTGCGCCCGATATATTTTCTATGACATCGATGGTATTGCTGCCCGTTGATATTATTGCTGTTTTGAGCCACTTTCAAACCGCGTTAATGTGTAATTTTTGCGGCTGATAAATTTGTATGCTCCGTTGTTATTACTGTCGAACATCAAATCGAACGAGAAGCCGAGAAAAAAATTGTATATATATATATATCGAAAATTCAACACAACAACACCGAAACAAAATATCGGATGTGTACAATAGCGCGAAATATTGTTTTGCGTACACCACCACGTTCACCTCACTTCGAGTCTCTTAACGCGCGAATCCAATGTTTTGCAGCCGAAAAAAAACCGACACACAGGCAATTTTGTCTTCTTCTTTTTCTTTTTTTTTTGCTTCACTAACACACGTAGATGCAAATGGAACAATGTTTTCTTTTTGGTTGTTGCTTCAAAACCATTCAACGAGAATAACACGACAAAATTTTCATGGGATCGATGATTTCAACTTTGTTTGCTTTTTTTTCTTGTTAAATTTTCATAATTATGCACACTGTTCAATTAACGGATAGTTCGATAAACATGAAGCGTTTTGGAATTCATTGAGTTTCTTTGACTGTTGAACTGATGGCCGCCACTTGAACGACAGATAGAATGATAATAGATGCAGCGCGCGCGTAAATAGATAAAATATGGACAAACAATTACAATTTATCTGTACAATTCAAAACACGGATAACAATCAATGCTGTCGTTGCTGCACACCGAATTTCAACTAGTTTACACGCTTGTTTTATTTTTTCGTTTCTTTTGCAATTTTCTATTACTTTGTGGAGATGGGATCAAAACGGCTCGATAAATCGACTGATCTCAGTGTTTTGTTGTTGTCGCCTCTTTTTTTTGTTATTTATCGAATAAACGAACCCAAACAAAATAACAATATCAATATGATACAGTTAGCACATGCACTACACACTCAATTCGTTGGATTTCAGCATGTAAAAATAAAAGACACACAGCGCGCTGGTATGCAAACAGAAAATTAAAACGAAAAAGAAAAACAACAACTAATAATTCGTCGGTCTCACTGAATTTGTTCTATCTTGCTGTTGTTCAACATTGTTCATTTGTCATGTTTTGATAGTTGCGATAGTTCATCGTTCATGTATTGTTCTTTCCAATGTTCTAAATTACGGAATATCGTTGCCGATTTCATTTGGATAATTTACGGATAATTTCAGTTGATATTTCAATAGGTAACATGAGAGAAACAATTTACAAACAAACAAAATAATCCCGATAATGTGCACCGAAAAAAGAGAAATTTCGATCTGACGCTTTCGGATACACACAAATACACAAGACCGTATACACAAAAAAAAATGTGACAATTCGGTTCGTACGCTTTTCGCTAGCTTCTCTTGCTTTCTCTCACACACACCGTTTATCTTCACGTTGTGTTTCTTTTTTCTTCTTCTCTTGTATTTGTCGTTTTGTTTCTTCTTTTCTCTCTTTCTCTCTCTCTCTTTCTCTCTCTATTTGCCTGAAAGTGTACGCACACACAAACGAATCGGTGAACTACTCCAAAACCGATATTAGGCTCCAATCCATCACGGACGCTTCGAATGGACAAATTTCACGGTATCTTCGGATCGGCGACGACGTTTTGTGATCCTTTTTTTTTCTTCTGCTGCCACCGAACTACTCTTGCTCACTCGTGTGTATGTATGTATGTTGTATTCAACAAATTATTATAGTTATTATGATGATTTTATTTTGTGTGTGGCTCGATCAAATCACAATCATCCGGATATTTTGCTTTTTTTTCGACGAGCTGAAATGCTGCCTGAAATTGTCTGTATGAGATGGCAATATAGCTGTGCTCGAACCAATGTAAATAAAACTGAATTTGGCTTTCCCGGTATTCGGTATCGGTGTCTCTCGATTTCGGTTGTCCAGTTGGTTGCCAAATTGCAGCATTTATTGAAACGCCAAATTCCGACACAAATTCGCTGTTTTTTTTTCTTTCTTTCTTTTGTTGCACCACGTTTGTTTCGGACTGACAGAATTTTTTTTTCCGTTCAAATGTCGCAGCGTTTTTCGTTTTGATAAAAATGCAACGACACAAACCACCGAAAGCGAAAAATATAAAATTAAAAATAATTTCAATGTACCAATGACATTTCTCGTCACTCACTGCTCATATAATTTTATGTATACTATATATACTCAATTGGCTTTTCGCTCTTTTTTTTCGGAAGTAAACCAAATCGACAATTAATAAATACTGCTGCTTCGCGTTTCCATCTTGGTAATCAAACAAAGTTCATTTTTTTTTCCTAGTGAACACACACGTTTTTGCCGAATTTTTCGTTTTCTTTCTTTGTTAATAAATAGAACAAATTAATGCCAACCGATTCGCTTTTTTAACTCTCTTCAATTCGACAGAAAAATTTTTTTTTCCGTTTTTACTTTTTTCCCCTTTTCCGATTCTTATTATACCAGCGAAATGGCATTAGGTTTTTATTTTATTGTTGTTGCTGGTGCAAACTCAATATGCACGTAATTTTTTTTCACTCCGTTTGCGGTGGCCTGTAAAAACCTACTGACTCGTTATTTTATAAGGTACAACATACATTGTGTAACGCTTTGGTGAGGAGAGCGTATGTCTTGGTTCGCAATGCGATGCGTGTGTTGATGCTTTTGGTGCTGTGTTACAATCGCGTTTTCAACGTTTATCTCTCTCATTCGCTCACTCTTACTCTCTCGCTCGTTTGTTTCCATTGGAAGCGCGCGGCGCGCGTTCTGCATGTGTGTGAGTGTGTTTTTGAAACGCTTTGGCTTTTTCGGCCATTGCATTTAATTGTTATGACAGTTCGCCCAAAACCGTGCACATTTTTACCCGGTTAATCAAAAAATCCCATCAATTGAAATGGTTTTATTTTTTGAAATGGCAAACAGTTTTTGTTTGATAATTCAATGGGAAAAATAAAATAAAATTGCAAACATTTCTTTTCGCTTTAGTAAATGGATCGATTTGCGTTGCTTTAATACAGCGCCATTTAGATGGTTGCGGCGAAATGATTCAGATAGCGCTATCAGTCGCAATATCAAATTGACGAACACACACACACACACACACACAAACACCAGTACCAACGATGCGGTTAGAGAGCGGCTTTACTTTCGGCACACATACACGATATGCACAAACACACCTGCATTGTGTGAACGCGCGTGTGTGCGTGCATTTGCGCGCGTGTGTTTGTGTATCGCTCATTCTCTCGCTTGACATAAATGAGGTTTGCAATGACAATTGGTGAGGGCAGCACATGACGGCGAATTCAAACAGATTGAGTTTTAAAAATTGTCAGTTGTGTCGTCAAACGAATATTAGTACCTCGTATACATTGTAATTTTTGTACATTGGGGAGTGTTGCATTTGAGTTCTTTTTTTTTCGGTTTGATTGTTGTTTTCGTCGATGATGTTCATCAACTTTTTGCAAAATGTTTCCATTTTTTAGCTACAATTCACCCATAGCTACGGAATAATTGTGAATTGAAAGTAATTTTCAATTTTATTTGTGATAAATTCCAAAATTTTCGTGTGTAAACTGTCGTTGTTGTTGTTGGTGTGTGTGTGAGTGTTTTTAGAAAACACCCATTCGCAAATCGTCAGTTTAAACGAGAAAAAAAAATTCGTTTGTGTTTTGCATACACAACTCTTTTTGTGTGTTAACGGTCGAATTAAGTTTTTTGTGACGAACTGGTGAAAATTTGTACTTTCTATATGGAAACAATCAGTGAACAAGAAACTGAAGCATTCATTGTAATTATATGATCGCATGCATTTGATGTGTGTAGACGCGTACAGCAATTATTCGAAGAAACAGCAACAACAACAACAACAACAAATAAAAACATACGAACAACCAAGGAAGCAGAAAATATGGACAAGGAGATTGCGGATCGATTGCGAAATGAGAATCCAGAGCAATTTCAGACATTGGTTCGCATGCATTTGTCATTTGAATTAGATCTCAACACAGATCCAGTCGAGTGAGTGTTCAATGAAGCAAATTGGCTATTCTTGTTGCTTTGCTACTATACTTTACGAGAGTTTTAGTTTTTTTTTGCCATTTTTGAAACATATATTTTCAAAATGCACAGTTTTTCTATATAGTTTGGCCGTTTCTTAATTCTTCTCTCTTTTAATTCATGCATTGCAGTAATGATAGCGTAACCAATGTGAAGCTACGGTCGAAGAAATTGTTTGCTTTTCCAAAAAAGTCCAAACAATTGCAATCGACTACGAAGAGTCCACCGTTTAACGTTGTCGATACACTGACACCGGTCGGCATCGAGCAACTCAAGCAAATGATTCGCTTTCTGACGGAGAGTCAAAGTAAGTTTCAACTTATGAACAACACAATTCATTCTTTTGACGTTCGATTCGGGTGTGAACATCAAATTGAATCTCATTGAAATTATGTGACATTTTTAGATATCATTCAAGAGGGAATTTTCCGACGAACTGGATCGGTGGCGCGTCAAAATGAGCTACGGCGTCGTCTTCACGAACAGAATACACTGGATTTTAGCAGTGGCGAGTACACGGTGCATGATTGTGCCAGTGTTTTAAAGTCAATCATTGCCGATTTACCGGAGCCACTTTTAACCGATCATTTTTATGCGATTCACTGTCAAATCGCCGAACTGTACAATAGCAACCAAACGGAATGCAATCAAACGAAAGAAATGCGACTGTTGCATTCGATTCAATTGCTGTTGCTATTGTTGCCGCAAGAGAATCGCACGCTATTCTATGACATAATTAATATGTTAAATGAAACCGCAAAATATGAATCCAATAATAAAATGTCTTCCGAAAGTTTGGCCACATTGTTTACGCCACACTTGATTTGCCCACGAAAATTGGCACCAGAAGCGTTGCACACCATTTCACAGAATATGTCCGGTTTGATAAGTTTTATGATTGGCAAAGGTGATGAATTGCAAGCCATTCCAACGAAATTGGCCACCGATATTCGAGCCTATTTGGTAGAGCAACGCCGTAAAAAAGTTCTATCGCCTGAACTGCAAATGCTTGACGAATCGGTGACATCGGATTCAACGGCCAATACCGTGTACACATTTGTCGATCGTGAAAAAACTGCCGAAGCACATAATTCAAATCCAACGGATACAGCACTGGCGCAGCTGTATGCATACATTCAAACATTGCCCGAGTCATCGAAGAAGCGAAAACTGATTAAGCAATTCAATAAGGAGAACGGACAGGGAACACCATTGCAACAGCAAATGATGATGCGCTTGAAAAAAGGCAATGTAACCGCACCACGGCCAAACAAATCACTTAGTGGATCAATAAAAAAGCACATTTTTCATTCGGCACTTGGTTCAAAGACACCAAAACGTGGATCGACCACGATGTGTTCCACGCCGAGTATACCTGAAATTAGCGTAAGTTTAACCATTATGACTTTTCTCTTGCAGTCACTTTAGACCTGTACCTTTAAATGGAATTGGTTTTCATTTGTTTTCTTGTTCCACTCCATTTCAGACGCCGGTCAGTAGAAGAGGGCACGATTTGACACCAAAATCTAAATCAATATTCCATACGCCACTCAATCAGAGATTGAATGCACCGCACACCGATTCATTTTCCTCGTCGACGCTCGAAACGCCGAAATCGGCACTGAAACTGGCCAAAAGTGCCGATGCCCAAGAAACAATAGCAATAGATGGTGATAGTGAAAAGAATGACAATAAAGTGGAGCGAAAGGAAGCGGCCAAAATTAAATTCGCTCAAAATGACAAGGATATTGCGCATGAACAGAACTATCATACGCCAATTTCCTTTAAAATGAACAAATTCATGATGTGCTTTAAATCGGAGCCGGATTTGAGCCGTGTGCAGAGTGGCAGCGAACATGAACCAATACTAAATCGTGGACGATTCATTGCCAAGAAGCTACTTAGTGGCGTTAGCATGATTAATTTGCGAAGACCATTCGCCAGCTCAAGTGAAAAGGCGATAATAAATGCAACCGCCACTGCTACTGCAACTCCAACTGAAACAATGGCAAACAATGATGTGAACAAAGTGGAGAATATATCGATAAAGGCACTTGAAGTGCCACCAAATGAAACTGAAGCTTATAATCCAATAAGAACGGTTGAAGTGCCAGCGAAAATTCAAACTGGCGAGAAAATAATCGAGGATGATGACGAAGATTTCGTCGATGATGAGGAAGTCGATCGAGAATATGATGATAGCGTTGACAAAGAGAATCGTTCACCCATCCAATGCAAGACCATTGATTACATTTCGAAATTAAAGCCGCCACCATCAACAGCAATTGGCTGCAGCACCATTTTATCCGATTCAATAACGAACGATTCCGTGTCGCCAATCACCAAATCAACACATCGCATGTCGAAAGCGATGCAGGTAAAAGAAAATGTGCAAATCATAATTAATGCCCCATGTATGTAAGTATGGCGTTTAATATTCGTATTTCTTTGCTTTTTTTGATTGCATCCTTTGGGGAATAAAATCAGGAATCTATAATGACACCACGGTCACGGAAACCAGTCATTATTGGTGCAATGCTTGGCTTGGCATCGGACAATTATCATCAAAACTTTATGAATTTCCCAATGGACGAAGTTGAAAATAGTTTTAACTGTGAAAATACACAAGAGCCACTGGATTCATCTTTGCATCGATCGAAGAGCGAAAGTAGTCTTTTGTTGCGATCACCGATCAACGCTCAAATACAATCCAACACCGAAACGGCGGTGGACGAACCAAAACCAATTATCAAATCAAATTCCGATGAAACATTATCCACTCCGTTCAGGTATGGCAATATTTCTTCATAAAAATAAACCGTGTTTCCATCTATCTTGACAACCTTTTTACAAAAATATAAACTTCAGTTAAAAAAATACGATATGCTCATTGCAGGAAATATTTATTCAGTCGCAGTTTGTTGACAACACCGGTGGATTCATCGTTTTCAAGCCAATCGGATGACTTTGAAAATCTAAACGATTCAGAGATGAGCGAAAGTTTGATTTACTGTTTGAATGGAAACGATCCGATTGATGATTTTATTGGCTTGCCCAATGTCAATAATGATAATCCAGTCACACCACGGACGACGACGAGTCGCATTTATGCCAGTGGCAGCAGTTCATGCCACAAAAATAGCATTCCAACCAAACGACCACTAAAAAGTGACGATGACCTAGGCACTAATTCACTTATCGATCCAATCTATGGCGAATATAGTTGTATTAATGCCAAGAAAAATCATTTGGAACTAGACGAAACTGCCCTTTAGTGATGATATAGAATGTATGTCTCAGCTAAAGGCAGTTTAAATTAGAAATACGTAACAAATTGTATTAATCGAACAAACAAAACGCAAAAAAAAAACATTTATTATATTAATGGCACATAATCAATCAATATATAGTACATTGCACTGAAATGCATGGGCATGTGCAGCGTGCATGTCATAAATGTATTTTACTTTTATCAAATGGTGTAGGAAAAAAATAATAATTTAATGATAATATCAAAACGATCTATTTTAAAATACAAGTCTTTATTAAGAAACAAATATTTTTCAAAATAACATTTTTATCGGGAAATGTTTCTGTAAAAAAAAAATGATAACAAAAATGACATCGATGGGAAAAAAAGAGGAGCATTTTTCTCTAGATAATAGCAAAAAAAAATATAATCAAAAGTTTTCTTGTTACAGATACTTCAAACCGGATATATGCAAATAAAATTTAAATGCAAAATCAATTTTAAGCGTTTCTGTTTCGTCAATGGTAAAATTAATTCATTGTAATTTAGCCGTGCTTAATGGGACCATCCGAATGATCTGTTAGTTCAAAAGTCATATTCTTTATATTAAAATTGTCATTTTTAGCATGGGTATCGATTCATAAGCGGCAAAAAATTCCATCTCCCGAATACACATTGTGTACCGATAAACCACCTTTTCTGACATCGTGGCAATATTCTGTGCGGTTCTGTGTCGTACAAATGGGACAGAAAAAAAAATTCTGAAGGTTTTTCAATTGGATTTTGAATTATTGCCCAAAAGTGTTTGTCAGCTTAATATCATTCATTCAGATATGGTGCGTTAAATTCGGGAACATACATTTTGAAGGAAAAAAAAATACATTCCAAACGAACATAATGAGAGTGTAACCATTTCAATTTGATATTAACGTGTTTTCACACGCGTAATTGTGTGTCCGGCCATACATTAGCAGAAAGAGATAGGTTAAAACACGAGAGTGTATTTGTATTTCGAATGTAGTACAGCTGGTCTGAAGTGAAACGTCATAATTTTGCTGCAGGTGTGCTTTTGTCGATCGACAAAATTACCAACGAAAACGAATACAATTTGCCGAAAATTTTATCCGAAATTCCATTGAAATAGAGCGTCGATCAAGAGTGGCGTCGGTGTTTCAAAATGTTTACGCGTGACGGAACGGAATTCAACAGAATTCTGTTAACAGAAATGAAATCAAAAATCGAGTGCATTGTCACCGAAAATGTTTCGTTCAAAGCGTTAAACACGCTGATTTTTTCGTAAGAAATGAAAAAACTAAAAGAGAGTGGCCGACGATAGATAGCATAAAACTCATGCGGTCGCATCGATCGAAAGGTGAGTGAAGGTGCACATTTGGAAGAGGATGTGAGTAGTTACGCTCATGCAAGAAACCACAATGTTACATCATGATTTTTAGACATATAGAAATCGCGCGCAAAGAAAGCTACGAAGAATTTCGTAGCGATACGATATGAACCGATATGAAGAATATAAAATCTGGCAGCGAACAGAACCAAAATGAAAAAATGTCGATTTATTTAGCCATACTCGGTCGCTTTCTCTCTCTCTCTCTCTCTCTCTCTCTCTCTCTCTCTCTCTCTCTCTTACTCACACACATTAATCCAATTGACTACGACTACACAACGTCTTGCAACGTTGCAAGGAACCCGCCGAACAGAACCAACAGAACAAAAAACAAAATTTCAACAGACTACCGAATAGAACAGAACGCAGCGAAGAGAAACAAAAGAACTTTGGCGTCCAACGAAACGCACGCGGTAGTTTCATCATACATATAACTAGACACACAGAGAGTCTGTCGCACACAAATTTCGGTTTTAGTGTGTTGTATCGCTGATCTTCCAGCTGAAGTAGAGGCTTTACACAAATCGTTTTTAAGTGAAGAGCAGAGGCAACAACATTTGACAATTACAGTCCCATTTTTCATCAGCACTCGGACCTCTCTCTATATCCAGTGTGTTTTGCACGCTCTCTCATTCTATCTTTCTTTCATATTGCCTACATTGATCGTGGCTTTGCGGGCGCACAAGAGAGCGCTCTCTCTCTACCTCTCTCTCTTTCTCTTTCTGTCCCTCCTTGTCTTTCTTTCGTGGCTTGTCGCTGTTTTTGTCGTCAACACTTCATTTTATTTTTTTTGCTACTCATCCGTAAGTGTTCTGATGGTAGTGGCATGGTAGCGTCGAGCACGTTGCAGTGCTAACTTATTCCATACTGGTTTCGGTTACGTTAGCAAAACCACATTGTTCCCGTACTGTTTTTTCCCTTCATCAATTCAATATAGTTCAGATTTTCTGGCTGCTCTGCATACGATTCAGTGGTGTACCGATTTTATTTTACCTTTTTTCTTCTCTTTCGTCATTTTCTATTCATTTCACTCACATTTTAAATCGTACCTGTCAATTTATGGAGAAAAAAAAAACTTGGTAAAAATTTAGCAAGAATAAAACCAAAAATTTAAAACCGAATCAATTCATAAACGAGTGCGGAACGTTTGTACACCGGCAGATAATTACCGGATTTGGTGATATGATTTAATTAATTGTGATTTATTTGACCGTCAATTGTTTTGTGTTTTCGTTCTCAATCCCCGTGTGTATATGAATATGTGTCAGATGTGAATATCGGAATGCAAGATAGCACCGAATTCAAACAACTAACATCAAAAGTGCCAGGTATGGATAAAACCAATAGAGAAAAAATCACGCGATATTTTCAATTAAATGAATGAATTGTGTGAGTGAGTGAGTGTGTGTGTCTGTGTGTGTATCGTCTCTTATCATTTGGTTCTATTTCGCGAATTTGTAGAACGACGAAGGTCTGATGAAATCGCATATCACCATTGAATCAGCTCAACTGAACACTGAGTATTGGCTATTTGGATATTAATTACCGTTTCAAATTCGCTCGGTTTCTTTTTTTTTCGTTTTCGAGAATAATGAAAATCATTACGATTAAATTTACAGTTAAATGGAACATGTGTCGACCATGCTTCTTACACTTATCGAACAAATTATTGAATATTCAATGAAGTTTTTCATTTATCTGATGCCAAAATATTCGATTCGATTTTTTTTTGTCTAGCTTTTCTGCAAACACGTTAGTTTCGCTGGGGAAAGTATCGGTTTTACTGGACAACTCTGTCTGTGTGTGTTTGAAATATCTGGGAAATTTCGATTTTGTCCTTAACAAAAATAAAGAAAATGGGAAAGAGAAGCGATGTTTTGATGCATGATTTTTTTTCTCTTTTAAGTGCTTATTCACAATACCAATTTATTAAATAGTATTTATACGGTTTTCTAATTTTACATAAAATAGGTACGTTTTGAGTTCAAATATTGAGGTCTTATTACGATAAAACTCAATTTCCGCCGTGACTATATTCGACCGTAGATACAGTTTTTGATGTTTATGTTTTTATTTTTAAAAAATCCTGGATAAAATGATTGATAATGTGTGTGATTCATACTTGCGACGTTTTATACAACAACAAAAAATCAGATATAACGAACTCAAAACGAGTACCCAAAAAATGACCAAATATCATATGTTGGAACACACACACACACACACACAATTTTTGTAACACTTGCGGATACGTTTGGATTACGTATGCAATTCGTTTTATTTGTTTAAAATTTGGTGAATTTGGGTTTTAATTGCATTTAGTCAAACTAATTTATGGGTATTTAAAACAAAAATTGTCATCACTGGATACAGTTGATTCGGTCTCCTCGAGCAGAAAATAATAAATTAAACGATAATTTTGTCTCAAAATTCGGTTCGAAAAATTTCGTATGCATACATGAATGCGAACCATGTGTGAATGCTACTGTGTTGTTCCAATGCTATGACACTTTTATCACTCTCTCCCCTTCTGCCTCACGTATGAGTTTAATTCACAAACAAGAGCATTATTTTTAACAGCAATTGCGACACAAGCAAAATACGCACACTGATTGCGTATATTTGGAATATGACAAATACTTCTTTTTTTTGCTTTTTGAACGTAGTGGAGCTGAAAAACACGAAAAGTGCTAAATTTACCAGCTCACCACCACGACAAACAACAACAAATGTACAAAATAAAAACAAACAAATCGCATCGAGTGTCGCGTTGATGTGTGCAGTGCATTCAATAAATATGCGCCCGAGAGTTTGCGCTTGTCGAAAAAGCAGAAGAGTTTCAAACATATTTATTGTTTAGCTAGATGATAATATTACGACGCGTAAATCCATACAAATTGACGTTGACAATCTCTAAATTGTCCTATTTAAAATGACAATAACCCGATTTTCTTCGGACGGGCGAGAGATAATGTTGTTGTTACTGCTGCTGTGGCTGTTACTGCTGCTGCTTTGTTTTGTTTCAAATCGTGCGAAATAAGCAAATTGCTTGCATAAATACATAACTTCTTGAAATGAATGAAAATCGGATGAACAGTTCATTGAACACATCCATATGATGAGTACAAAAAATGTGTTCCCATACACAAAGGAGCCGAAATTAAATAATGTTTTTCAATGGTTTTCATTCCATCGCGCAATGGTTTGTAAAATAGTGATTTATGTATATGACTAGATAGATGAACGAGATCGAGATGGTAAATGTCAATTCGATTCATGATTTCGTTCCCAGCACATATAATAGAAAAGTTCATTTTGAAGCGATTTGCACGAAAACACATCGATTTCGGTTACATAAAGAGAACACGGCCATTGTCTTTAGTCTAAACGAATCAGTTGACAGAAACGTGGAATAATCTCGATCAGATGAATATTCGAAGATAAATGTTTATGCTAAACTGTGTTTCACATTTTTGTGTTTATCCATTGTCACTATCACACACCCATACATTGCTCAAATCCCGCAAAGTTCAACAGATGAATGTTCAACTAATACACCCTTGTACGGTACACAGTTCATAGTTTATTATCACACAATATGTGTAGAGATCTCCCTCCTGTTGATTTGTCGATCCAAATGCCTAGTTCAACGATGAGAGAAGTGGCTTATTAAATGAAATTCATCTTCGCCTCAAGTTCCATGTCCACACATGTATACACAACATTAACGATAACGACAATAACACCATCCAAATGCTTATCGAATAGGCAGTCTAAATCAAGACAAACTGCACTTTGAATCATTTACGCCGCGATCTCAATCTGAGCTGATGATCATGTTATCCGCCACAAAACTACTACACTTATATCCATTCATCTTCTTCCTGGCTACTCTCTACTACTAACTTTAGATAAATATTTCCAATATGTGACAGTGCGCGCAACAACAACCATAGCAACAGTCACTGAAGTGGGCATAAAACGCATTCAACTCTCAAACCAACCGAACTCTCGGTGATGATCAACAATATTATAAGATTCGTTCGCGCAAGTACAGTGATTTTTTTTCTTTATTGGAGTACATAACACATTGTTCCTCAAACCGATCGTACAACAATCGTTGATACGCAACACTTTTCGGGTAATTCAATTAATGAGCTATATTCACGGAGGAAGAGAGAGAGAGAGAGAGAGAGAGAGAGAGAGAGAGAGAGAGAGAGACCAAGTTGTATTGTTAGGAGGTCAATTTAATCCAAACAAATTTGTGTAGCATTTGATTTGGCATCGAATGTAATGACATGGCTTTGTTTGTGATTATTTCGTTGATTTTCCCAAGAATTCAATATTCCACGGAACACTCATTGATTATACATAAAATCAGCATATTCCTTAATCAGCAAACAGATTAGAAAATTTTTGAAAAAACAGTCTCTCAACTACTCACATACACGCTTCCACTCAAAGACGAAAGAAAAGACCTAAGCAACTTGTCAAACAATGAAATCCCAAAGACGAAGTGTGTACATGAATTGTGTAAATATTTCATTATTGTGCAGAAATTGGATAATGTTCATTGAGCAGAGACACTTTTTATTAGAGTTTATTCATGTATGTATGTATGTATGTATGTGTGTGTGTGGTGTGTGAGTGAATACGTACGATTATTTTGTTTAAAATATTTAATAAAGTTTGCTTTCGCTTAGATATTTCGTTGTTGTCACTTGGTGATTTTGGACAACCCGAAAAAAAAATCCCATACAACAAACGATTTTTTTTTCTTCGTATATATATATGATAAATTAAAACTTGTGAGAATATCCGATAGTAATTTTGTGTCCAATTTTAAATTCTCGTTACAGTTGATCTATTTGCGACGTGTTCAAAGTGTATAAAATCAAATTAGTACGCGATTGAAAGAAGGAAGAACAAAAGAACGACAACATTTATTTCGATATTATTAGAGTGTTAGAACGAGAGCGTGTGGGGGGGCATTTATCAACATGGCACGAGTATCAGCATCAGAAAGTGCTGTAGCACCAAAAACTGGATTCAGCGAATCCGATCAAAGCAAAAAGATAACACAGACGGAATCGAGCGGTGACGATGTCCAATTGAAAAAGGAGCTTGGCTTATTAGATGGCGTCGCCATTATTGTTGGCGTCATCATTGGCGCTGGCATTTTTGTATCACCAAAAGGAGTTCTTCTATATTCCGGATCCATTGGACAAGCGATCATTGTGTGGATCCTTTCGGGTATTTTAAGTATGGTTGGCGCTTTGTGTTACGCCGAATTGGGTAAGTTAAATGTACGTCTGATCTATGCATTAGATCAAGAAAAGAGTATGATTTTTTAAGCGTGCATGCTTCGATCTCACCGAATGGACTTGAATCAATTCCAACTATCATTATCGAGTCGAATTGGAATGAAAATGAATGCAAACTAAAAAAAAACACTCTTTTCATTGTTTAGGCACAATGATTCCAAAGTCTGGTGGTGATTACGCGTATATTGGTGCAGCATTTGGTCCATTGCCGGCGTTTTTGTACCTGTGGGTGGCTCTACTCATCTTAGTTCCAACGGGAAATGCAATTACAGCTCTAACATTTGCCCAGTATTTACTGCAGCCATTCTGGCCAACCTGCGATGCTCCCATTGAAGCTGTTCGTTTATTTGCCGCCGTCATTACTTGTAAGTTATCACCCTACTGTTTCAATGTCAATTCTCGAAATTCAACGTTTTGCTCTCCATTATTCCTTTTCTCGTTTTCTTTTCGCTACCAATTTTATTCCATTTTATTTATATCCAGCGAACAAACCACAAAATGACCATTGAATCCATTTTTTCAGGTGTTTTAACTGTAATTAATTGCTATAATGTTAAGTGGGTGACTCGTGTAACGGATACTTTTACTGCAACCAAAATCCTAGCTTTGCTATTGATCGTTGCATTCGGTGTGTGGCATTTATTCAAAGGCAATACCGGATACTTTGAGGAGCCGATGAAGGGATCGAAAACCGAACCCGGCTACATTGCATTGGCCTTTTACAGTGGCTTATTCTCTTATTCCGGATGGAATTATTTGAACTTTGTCACCGAAGAGTTAAGAGATCCATACAAGTAAGTGAAATGTAAAGAAACTGACTGTAAACGTTTAAATAACGAAGAATTGCCTAAAAGTAATTCAAAAGAACATTTCCATCAAAGAAAGTGATACGGTTTTCTCCATGTAATTCATATTTATTTCGCTAATTTCAGAAATTTGCCACGTGCTATTTGCATCAGTATGCCAGTGGTGACGATAGTTTATGTGATAACGAATATTGCGTATTTTGCTGTTTTATCGTCGGAAGAAGTTCTCGCGTCTGATGCAGTGGCGGTAAGTTATTTATCTCAGAATTTCTCATTTTTTTCATTGATTCATCTAATATTTTCGTTTGAATTGTTTCCGTTTCCGTCATAGGTAACATTTGCAAATAAGATGATGGGTATGTTTGCATGGGTGATGCCATTATTTGTGGCATGTTCAACGTTTGGTTCATTGAATGGTGCGATATTTGCATCGTCTCGTCTATTTTTCGTTGGAGCACGTAATGGTCATTTGCCGGCTGCCATTTCATTGATCAATGTCAATTGTTTGACACCAATCCCATCACTGATATTCATGTGCGTTCTCACATTGGTTCTATTATTCATTCGCGATGTATACATGCTCATTAATTACGTATCATATGTGGAAGCATTGTTCACATTGATCTCCATATCGGGACTGTTGTGGATGCGTCAAACCAATCCGGATGCCAAACGGCCGATCAAAGTGAACATTTTAGTGCCATTGACTTACATGCTCACGTGTAGTTTTCTTGTTATATCGTCGATTTATCAAGAACCATTCGCCGTTGGAATTGCATCACTCATCATCCTATCTGGTATTCCCGTTTATTATGTTACAATACATCGTCCCATTCCATTGCTAACCAGCATCTCGCATAACATTAACATGTTTTGTGCGAAACTGTTCATGTGTGTTGCCAATCAAGAGAAATTTGACTAAAAAAAACAAATTCACACCTCCTCACCACGCTACCTTTCGGCTCAACGAATCGCTATTTAATGCGATCGCAGATCATTAGAAAAAAATATTATTATTATTAAGTTGTAAGTGAATTGTACGCCAACAGGGGAATACAATATTATAATGATAATTGTAACGATAAATTGTATAAATAAATGTATTTTCAAATCAGATTGAAGCAACTCAACTTCGATTATGAATATTAAATATTCTCAAGACAAAGAAAAATCGTTAAATTTATAAGATGCCAAAAGTGTAATTGATAAATTCATTTGTTTTTTGCCTTTGTGCCTAAGAATATGAATTTTTACCGAATGAAAAAAATGAAGAAGAAAAAAATCGATTTTGTAAGTGAAAATATCAAAATACATTTTGTTTATAATAATCAAATTGGCCGAAGTTTTAATTCAATCCAAGTTCAACATTTGTTAGATCACACATGTACACGAGGCAAAGTTTCTTCTCTCTCTCTCTCTCTCTCTCTCTCTCTCTCTCTCTCTCTCTCTCTTTCCGCTGAACAGTTACGAAACAGTTAAATTGATCCAAAGTTCCTATCATTTGATTAGAAGAAGAAGACCTTTTTGTGATTGTGTAAGTATTTCCAAAATTTAGGACAAATCGGACAATTTTTCTTTCATAATAAAATCTTCAATCAATTTATTTTTCATCTGATGTGTATATAAAACTCGATGGATGTATGATTTTTTCGGCTAGATGTTTTCATTTTGAATTCAAGGATATGTTGATGACTTCTGATTTCATTTTTCATGTTCGCTTCTTCTCTTTCTCTCCAACCTAAAATGAAATGATTTTAAATGATCATTAGACTAACTGATTTCAGTAAATATTCAATGTATGTATCTCAACTATCTTTTGCTATTACTTTCGCTGTGATGTGTATTATTCGTAGAAGCATTGGGCAAAAAAAAGACCTGTTCCAACCGCCATTGAATTGATGAAAAGAATTCTATCACCTCGACCGGGATAAATGAACAGCATTAAGAGAAACGCACAAATTCCTATAGCTGCTGTTGTTGCTTCGACCTTTTTACTGATCTGTGGGGACAAAAAAATGGAAAATACAAATTCAATGTAATTAATTTCAGCAGCTGATTGAATGACCATTGCCATTTTTTGTCAAGATTTGTGTAAAATGGGCTATTGCCGGATTTTTGGTAATTAATTTCAAACATGAATTTACCCTCCAAGAACATCCTAAAAAAGTTAATGTGATGACCATCGCCGCGAAAGCTCCACAAATTAAGTCGCCCCAATACATTTTCCAGCACATGGTGAATGTATCAACACCTGGACAAAGGCACATTGACGTAGATAATGTTGAAAAGCATGAAGCAAGAGCGAGATATAAGAGCCCTTTTTTTTTTACTATAATCACAAAAAGAAACGAATGATGGAATGATTAATCAAAATGTAGGAAATAGCGATAAATTCAGATAGAACACTGAAATTTCAAGTAATTAATGTACAAGAACAATAATGAAAAAAAAACACTGACTATATTATAAATCATTTTGACTTTGTGCTAAACTGAATTACGCTGAGATGTACGCACAATCGCAAAACACCAACTGAGTGCTGAAAAACACCAACTGAGTGAAAAAGATACGAGCGATGTGCATACAATCACCGGTCAAAATATGCCGTTTGTTTGTTGTAGTTGTATTCTAAATTCTCTTTCACACTCTGTAGATGATGTATATATTTTTCCAGTGAAAAGAAAGAGATGATGTATGTACATATATATATATTTGCCAGTGGCGAAATAAAACAAAGTTCAGTCCAATACCATAGAGTCTGTGTGTCTCAAATAGTGAAAAGATTTGTAAGAAAAATATAGCATTGAAGGTGTATCAAGGTGTATCAGTATTATTTCTACAAAGACCGTTGGAAATAACGAGTAGAGTCTGATTTTGTTCAAAGACTTGATTAAGTGAACATAGCAATAGATGGCGTATATTTTGTTGGTAATAAAAATGAGTTCTTGTTCAAGAGATTTTAGATTGATTGCGCATGTGTACCTGAAGAAGAAGAAGAAGGAGAATTATTAAACGTAGCATTGTTTGTATATTATTCGCCAGTAAATATTTGTTTATATTATATACTCTTGGGTTTCTTAGCGGTGTATTTGCTCTAAAAATGATTTTTCCGAAGATAAATTGGGATTCTTTTGGGATCTTATACACTAAATTTTTGGTGGTCGTATGTCCCTTTTTACCATTACATCATTATTACTTGGAACGGGTAATTATAAATTAGCGATAAAAAAAAAACTTCTCTTAAATTTGTTTTGCGATTTCCTAGGGTCTTCATACGCCATATCAAAGTACACTTGGACTAGCTTGGATTTGTCTTTGGACCATTACAGGTACCACACTGTGGTCAAATATTTGATAATTGTGTATGGATTTATTATATTAAAATTTGTTCCATAGAAACCATATTCATATACATGGGATATTTTGGACCAAAACTAACAAGTCGTTTCATCAAAATATTCTACTCCATTATGATGTTCATACTATCTGAATGTTCGAATTGTCTCTCATTTATGTTGTTGCTAAAAATAATATCGAATGCTAATTATCATTCCGTGTTCAACGGTTTTCTGTTAATTTCTTGTGGTATTCTAAACATGGTGGTTGCCAGTTTGAATCATCTGTTGATAATTTATCATACATTCCGTCGTGTAAGTATGTTTTAGCTTCAGATTTTGAAAAGACAGAGTGTTAAACCTAACATGTTTTATTGAAAAATCCTTACAGACAGAACAAATGGCATGGCCACGGCTAAAGAGACTGAATGTCATTGTCAGCCATACATGTATCATTGTTGGGTGCATTTCCGCAATTCCATCATTTGGTTCATACCCTAACATATATTCGATTTTTTTGATGATGATAGGTTATTACTGCAACAAATTGAAATTTAAAATGTCTCAACTAATCAAATAAAAATAATTATGCTTTTTTTCTGATTAATAGGGATGCCAATAAGGGATATGTTGGGATCGGCTGATACAGAACATGATGAATGCACAATAAAACGTAAAGGGACTAGTTCTTTTATGTGCTATTTCCAAAAGATAACATTTGCAGCGTTCTCCGCCTTTTTCATACTTAATTCGTGCTCCATGCTTTTTATGAACTATGAAGACAAGCAAAAAACTTGGATACTTCTTCCAATAATGCTTGCAATTAATTTTCTCGCGATCGGTAAATAGAATTAAACTTCTTCTATACTATAATTGTATAATATCAATATGTGCTCAAACTTTCAGTTCGCCAAATATGTGTGTTACCTGGCAATGAACCGACGCAGATAGAGGGAAAGTCATAGCCAATACTCACTTTTGGGAAAATGACGGAATCTCTGTTATAATCACTGTGAAATATGCTCATGACCATACTCCTTCTCGATTTAAAGTAACATAGACATACTATTCTTTTACTGTGTGAGAGTTTGTTTGAAGATTTCAATGAATTGTTCGGTATTAGAGTTTTTATTTACAAGAAATTCTTATTTAATTTGAATTAAAAAAGAAACGATCAGGGAAAATGTCCCATCGAATACAAATCGTGCAGTGTTTTCTTTCATCATAAGATTTTTTATTTGCAATACACCATTTTATACACAATTTAGCTATGTACAATCTTTTAACTGTTTTTTTTTATATATATAAATGGTTATAAATAAAATTAACATTTCCATAACTAAAAAAATTGACCATTGTGACCAAACGCTTTGTTGCTGTTGTTATTGGATACAGTTTTATCAAAAGAAAAAAATAGCTCTGTGACGCTAGCCCCCCGGTTCCAAAATTTAAATCCGAGCACGCAATTTCTGCTGATTACTGCTCGCTCCGCAGAATTTCTGCTGCAACTGGTGTCACGGAGCTGAAAAAAAAAAACATATATAGAGGCGTAAGCCTCTGAACTCAAATTCGAGTCATGGTTTTAAGGTAGTAAGTGTTCGTTTTCTTTGCTAACAAATTCCTCAGTTGCATCAGCTGTCTGATGGATTACATCAAGCAATGGTAAATCTTCACGTTTTCGACGTCGCTCACACTTCGGACATGGATGCAGTGCATTAAGGCACTCTGCATGGAATACGGCACTGCAATCGTCACACTGTAAAATAAGAGAAAAATCGGAAATGAGTTGAAGAAGAGATGAGAAATGACTAACCATGTTTTTGGTTAGACACGGTTTTCTACTTAGTTTATGTAAAAAATTTGCCTTGTTCTTTTACTAGTATCAAAATAGTTATTTGATCAATGTCGCGGGAACATTGAACGCGGAAAATTCATTTCTATGGATTCGCTCCACAATACTGATGCACAAAATGAGTCCGACTCACCTTGTACGTGGTGTCAATATCGAATGGATAAAGCACTTTGTTGCTTTGACAAATCTCGCAAATGAATCCCTTTTGACTGCACAACGGACACTCCAAAATGTGTTGACGCCCAAAGGCCACCACTTTTCGCAATTGATCGGCCAACAATTTTTTTGGGATGCGTTGCAAATCAGCGAAAGTATAGCGATGAATGTGCTCATACAAGTATTCTTTGGTCCATAATTGCTTGCGAAGCTTTTCTATGATTGGTGCACAGCATGTGAACAAATACGCTCGAATAAAGTTCAATTGAATTCGCAGCGATTGTAGTTCAGCCATTTCATCGACGTACTGGTAAATGTCTGGATTTAAAATTTTCAAATCGATAAACGATTGATGTTGAAATTCTTGCAAAAATGCGGCTGCCTTCTGTGAAACCGGATATTTTTTAAAGTCCCAGTTGAAAATCACGCGAGCTGGTATTTGAAATGGATCCGTGGCCATGCAACCCGAACAGTAGTATGCGCCATTAAATCCACAAACTCTGAAAATAACACGGAGAAATAAATAAGGTGGGTTAGTATTTGTTTTTTTTTCTCCAAGTTTTTGAATATTCTTCTTTGTAAGAATTAAAATTAAACGTACTGTGTGGTTGTTACGCCAGAGCCACCAACTCCAAGTGGATTTCCACACGATAAGCATGCAAAATTCTGTGAATCCAGTCCAGATTCACGTGGTATTTTGAATGTTTGTTGCACCATCTCACGGAGTTCGGGCATTGAAAAATGTGCCAAACTATCGCTTTGAACGAATTCAAAATCCACCAAAGCATCTTCGTCACCCGATTCATCTGGTTTGTCGGCCGACTTTTGCGATTTTGTTTCGGCCGCATCATTGCTCACCGCATTTGTATGTGCAATTCCTAATGTGCTTTCAAAGCGTTGCCAAACATCGTTATAGTCAATTTGACGTGAGAAACACTCATCACCGTCTTGTGCTCGTTTGACGCCACGGCGCAACAGTGAATTGTAGCTAAATCGATCGATCGGCGATTTAATGGAACTGTTCAGACTGTTGGATCGACTGAGTGAGCGTGACATCGATTGCACGGGTGTTGTTGATTCTTCATTGGCTTTAGCTGCGATTTCAAGTTCATTGTCATCGGTCGATGACCAACCCATTCGAGAAACCAATGAATTTCCCATAATTGGTGATGCACTACTGAATGGGTTTGTCTCTTCGGTTTCGATTATAATTTGCTCATCAGCATCGTTGGCCGTCATCAAAGCGGATAATCGTTTTTCCGCTTCACTCATTTCACTCTGAAGATTAGCCACTCCGCTATTCGATGGTTCTGGTGAGTCTCTCTTGGTAACCATGGCATCCACACGGGTCAACAGAGCCGTCAATTGCACATCATGCTCAATATCATCGTCAATGGCCTCAAAACAATCGACGCCCACATCCACACTCGTTGGCTCTTCCACCTCTTCAACGCTCACATACGGTTTGATGAAGGTGGCTTTGAGATTTGGTATTGCCGACTCTTTAAACGGTGAATTATGAATTGATGCAGAAAAAAATTCATTCGTTTGCAGCGGTTTTGGAATGGGAATATTTCGATCTTCGGCCACTAATTCATGCATTGGCTTATCGGCGGCAATTTTCGCCGGCGAAACCGATGTGTACAAAACGCCTGTATTGTTGGCCACATCAATGCCCGACGCAATCGGATACGATTGAAGTGATGGCGTATATAATCCGGATAATTGTAATGGCAAATCAGTCCACGTATTCAATAAACTCGAATTAAGTGGTAGATCAAAAGAGACGCATGCTTCAAGTCCACCAATCAAACTTTCTGCCAATTCCATAAAATCAGAATCCCGTAAAAATGCTGTGCGTTGATAATATGGTGCTAAAGTTTGTGAGCTCTTGCGCATATTTGAGAAGTAGGATGAAAGCAAGCAATCGTTCAGTGATTGTCGTATCCAGCATCGACAATAGCCAATTTCGGTGGTAATCTGTGTCATCGAATGGATTTGTTCGATTGCATATTTGTGCGAGAAGATCATCAACGGTGCCCAAAATGTAGGCGATGGACGACGATTTGCTTCACCGCCCGTTCCAACTAGAATATTCACGGTTTGCCAGAGGAATGAATCTTTCAGACCATGCAGAAAAATTGCCTCGATTGTTGCACACAGCGACTGTGTGTGATCAGACAAGTACAGCTGTTCTGTTGGTGAAACCAAAGGTCTAAGCATTCATTTGATATAAAATAAAGTAGAAATTTTGCTCTATCCACACTCACCACACATCTCATCATTGGCACCTTCTTTTAGTTCGTACTGTATCTCTTTGGCATTGTCGGAAAGAGTGTCAATCAATGATTGTTTGATTTGATGCTCTCGGCTGTTGAACTTTGCCTTAACTATGTTGCCAAAGAACGAATCCATTTTTTTTGGTTTGCCACAACACAAAAACGCCAGCCTCACGATATTCGATCACACACCTACATTGAATATACTCTGTCGACAGTCTACACCACCACCTAAATGCCTATCGTATTTTATTGAAATGAAATACAAGTGGTTGTCGCCTTCGATGCGCCACACACACACAATCTCTACTACATCAATTAAATGACATTCAACGGAATAGAAACTCGACGCCAGAAAAAAGAAATGCGAATGAAAAAAATAAAAACAAATTATTTTGATTTGTTGTCGTCGACTGGATGATTTGACTGTTGTTGTCTAATCACGAAACCATAACAATGACAGATTCAATCGTCATTTGACAAATCGCTCCTTAAGTATATCAAACTATTCAAACGATCGACATCTACCTTCTGCTGGCGAAACTAATTTGAATTGATTTGTGTCTTTTTCCACTCTTTCTCGGTATGAAAGGACCAACAGTTATGCATTTATAAATAGTTTTGTTGGGAAATTTGTGCATTAGTCCGATTGTTCTTATGTAATTTAACGACTTTGTATGTACAGCGTGGGGATATTACTCGAAACCATTTCGCTCAAATTCTTACTTCATTTTACATGACATTTGGACACATGCTCGGACACAAGGCAGCTTTTTATAGAACAAAGAACAACTTTCATAACAGAAATTATGGACGTTAGAAGCATAATCATGCACTTGAGCAGTATTTTGAATTGTCGGAAAGATCGTTTGAATTTGAAGCATTTCATCTTCAAGTTCCATGGAACACGTTTATTTTGAGCAGAAACTTGCATCATTCGTCGAATATCAGCTCCGGTCATTTCGAAGCAATTAATTGTTTTTACGACACTTGAATTGCAAGATCATTGACTATGTGTGTATTATCATTAGATTAGCAGACATTGGCATTGGCCGGTCATTATTCAGCCATTTTTTTGTTGCCAATTTTTCCAATTTTTCAACCTAGTCGGCTATGGAAATATTTGTTTTCGATCAAATTTGTTGTAATTTAAAAGCTACATTCAATTGAATCTTGTGAAAAGACAAACGAACATTGAAAAGAGGTTCTTCTTCTAGCTATTATCAAGTTAACAATAGGTGCGTTTCTTTTACAAAACACGGCCATATTAGCATATTTTCGCTTTTGAAACCACTTTTGATAGAAGAATTCGGATTTCGAACTGCAGTCTTAACAGTAAGTCGTAATTTGATCTAAAATAGTTTCTTACGCCATATCATATAGCCCATATGTCAATATTTTCAACTGCAAACTTTCAACTGTTTGGCTGAACTTTGAGAATTTCCCATTTTTCTTCGCTTTTTTTGGAAAGAAGCCAATTTAAGATAGGGAAATTGATTGAATTGAAGCTCCTCAGAATCTCTTTTTGTTCAAAATTATTTCAAGAATCATGATGGCGACCAGAAAAAAAACGTTCAATTGTCGAGAGCTTTTCGATCAAATATTCGCTTAAACTTGTTTTACATTCATGTTTTTGTCCGGTCGAAAAAAGGGAATGAAAGAAGGAAAAAAATGCTGTGAAATTGTGCAAAACCAAAATGACCGACAAAAAAAAGTTCGTGAAATGCGTCTCAGAATTGTTGTTTGCGATTTGTAAGTTCTTGTTGTTCCATTTGCTCTCACACTTATTTTCCGATTAACGTTTGCATGGGAAAATGGCAATAGAAAGAAAAAAAACGACAGCAGACATATTCCGCATATACAATGTATATGTCCAAATGCTAGTTATATGCATAGTTGAACACTCGTTCGCCGCGTGATCACGCTAGCACATAAGAGTGGTAAACATCATAAAATTGTTGTTGGATAACGTGCCACAGCTAAAATACATAAGACTGTATGGAAAAAGCGCCCCGAAATGTTCACATCGAATAGGTTCGAAACTCCAGTTCATTTGCGCGTGTATTGGTATGTTGTGGATAAAAAGGTATACGGAATGTGAAATGCGCGCATACATGCACACACAGTGAGAAAACGGAGGGGTTGCTTATACGGAAAATTGTCCATGTATTCGATGAAGCGCATATTTACTGAATGTTGAAAACTCATTTGATCCTCAAATGACATTCAAAGTCGTCCTTTTTCACATACGTACATAAACAATAACCGTAAGAGGTGTTCTTCGTCAGAGATAGCATACACTTTGCGCATTGAATTCCATTCAGAAACCGAACATTTTACGAATAACACAAGTTCCAGACAAAAACGGTTCCATCATCAAAGCCAGACGAAACAAGCTCTTTGGACAAGCATTTACCCTGTTTTGTGACCACTCTACAAAGTCCAACAAATTTTCTTACAAGAATCATCAATTTTATTTTCTTGCTCTACGTTTCAAACAAAAAGAAGAAGGAATTTAGCGAGTAAAAAATTCAGTGCATTTGTTACTATTGTGTAGTTGTGCTACTCGTTTTTTTTAAAGTGATATATTCATTCCTTCGAGGATATTCGAAACGAAATCAGCTGTAAGCAATTTATTAGTTTAAAAATAAAATTTGTATTTCTCTACAATGTAGAGTCTACATGTAGATTTTCAAAGCAAATGTAATTCCGCACTATGTGACAGATTACGTTACGCTATGAAATGAAACTTTTCGTAATTCGCATTGGTTGGTCATGGTTTTTTTCTTTAGCTGAATTCCTTTCAATCGATGTGAATGCTTTATCGCGTTTTTGTTCAATTCCACTCAATAGAAGCAAAGTCTAATTGAACAAAAATATTTCGATTTATCTGTTTATGTATGCCGATGACAGTCCATTTGGAATTAATTGATCAGGTCATTTGCGAGTCGATTCTACTTTAGGAAATATATTAAAGATTTCATTTAAGAGTGCAATGCCAAAAAAAACTAATATCTTCATCCCGAGCATTTGATGGGAAATTCAATTTGACGGACATACATTTGTTTAGAATTACGGCACGTCCACTATAATTTCTCGTTCAATTTTTCGATATGAAAGTGCGACATATTAAACCATTTTGATCAAATTACGCTTACTACGTTCATCATCAGGCCAAAAAGTTCATAAGATCACCATTTGCCTTTATTTTCGAGCCGTTTCTCTATCACTCTTCCTTTGTCTCGGTTTCGTTCATTTAATTGGCTATAATTCGGCCCGTTGGCAAAGTCCGCGTAATTGTCGAATTCTTGATGAAATTGAAGTGAAATGAAATAAGGCTGAAAGAGCGAGAGAGAGAGAACAAAGACCGGGCGGATGGTATAAAACTAAAAATTATTCATTTATTATCATACAATAAACGAACGAGTACGAGTTGCAAACGCATTGAATTCCTTCACCGAAACAGAGATGAGACCATTTTGAATTGTAGTCGGGCCAGAAAAAATTAGTAATACTTTGACAGTTGACGAGTGAACAGTGTGCTTGTAGTTGAATTTAACGCATCGCGGGTAACAGCCAGATTCAATAAAATATTTTTCTCTGTGATTTGTCGGCAATTTTTTTACTCTCCCTTTCACTTTTTCGCATATACGCATTTTACGCCAGCGATAAATATCCATTTGGTGATAATAGTATTAAAAATAGCATCGTTTGCGGAAATATGGCATAAGTTCTTGGGTAAATTCTATAACAATTGAAAAGTGCATCGCACCACAAATCAAAACAAAGCCACTGACTCGGCGTCAGCAGCACACAGTTGCACTTTTCTGCATACACGCTCTCTGACGCCTTCTCTCTTCTGCACATCGTTTAACCCTTGCTTTAAAGTTGTTGGCTGTCATTTTCTTTTGGTTTGGTTTGGTCTGGTGACGATGATTTTTTTTATGACAACACAGAAATACTGCAATATCGCAAACAATCCCGAAGCCAAAGACAAAAGAGAGCTGATTAATTAAATTAAAAATAAAAAAAGTCACAGGCAAAGGCACAACGAGAGCAAATTTGCACGAAGAGAGAAAAAAAATCGCTGCAAAAATTGTACGTACGGTCAACAACTGGATATTACAATTACATTGTATATTTACGATACCATGCATAAACTCGAACGAACGAGATAGAGGCAGAGCGCACACACAACCACAAACGTATCCAAAAACAACAACAACAGAACAACACATTACATTAGTTGAAACTGCCTTGGACAAAACGTACATGTATTTGCATTTCTTTGTTCCGCTCGCTCATTGTTTTTGATACATATGCCAAAACATTATGCGTACTGTGTGCTTTTTTCATAGCCGTTTGTTTCAGATTTGCTTTTTTTCCCCGTCCATTTGGTGTTTATTTGTATAATTGGTGGCGGCTTGTACAGTGAACAAATGAAATAAAAGAAATAACTAGAGAGAGAGAGAGAGAGAGAGAGGGAGAGAAAGAGCAAACGAAAAATAAAAGCGATATTAGTTCTTTGTTCTTGTTGTGCCGTGTGCTGTGCTCACCAACTCACAGTCTTTTTTAGTTCACAAAGTAATATATAGACATACGAAATAAAAACAGCGCAAATTCTATTCGATTGGAATCGATTGCATTAAACGCGATCCAGCAGTCAGATGTTGCATGCCAACAAACGATCATTTATTTTAGATTCGTTCTCTCTTCGCATAGTATCGCATTGCAATCAAAATAATTGTGTGAAAATCAAGTTGAACCGATTATCGCCAGTGATTTTTACAAAGTTTTTTTTTCGCTTTCAATTTCAATTTTCAACTTTTGAGTGCTCATCATTTGATTTTCTTCCTTCATCCTTTGTCGGTGTGTAGATCGTGAAAAAGTGCCGAAATACTTGGGAGCGCAAATCGTAAAATCGAACGTCCAAAAGTAAAAGATAATAAAATAGAAAATATCGAAACACGATACAATAACAACCGGAAAATAGTTTTGTGTATGTGCCAAACGCGGAAACATACCAATCGAGAAGTAGTAAATCAAGGAAAATAACCCGATTCGAACATTGAACATCGTCAAAAATTTTACGAGTTATTGCAACATCTATTGCCTTCGCATCGACCCATTAAACGCGCTACATTCATTGGTGAGTGTCAATCATTATCTGAACTCTTTTTTTTATTGATTTGCAAAATTCATGTAATCCATCAATTATATAAAATTACTGCCGATTGTTGTTTTTCTTTATCATTTTTACGCGGAAATATTTTCTTCGTTGAAAAAACAAGAAATAATCCGCATGAAATTCAAGTACAGGATAATGAATGGCGATAAGATTACCAAAAAAATCAAAATATTTTGATTCATTTGCAATGCGGAAAAAACACGAGAAAAAAAACGTAATTCTAATTTGTATTGAAATCCACTTGATAAAGGTCGTGAATTATGTGTGTGTGTGTGTGTGGATGACTTTGAAACTTGCTGCGTACGATTGATTTATTGATTCGCTTTGTATCCTAAGTTTCTTTGTTCCAAAGATACGGTGACATCGTGAAATGAACGAATGCAACAAACAAACAGAAAAAAACTCATAATAACAGTGTGGCAACGATACATACAGAGAGAATGAAAGGAGGAAAAAACAACGACTGCAACGAACAGAGTCGATCCTGTATGTATGTGTGGACGGCAAAAATTGATAATGGCTTAAGTAAATAGCATTGATAAAAATATACGCTTATTTTTTTTTGAGCTAAGCCAACAATTTCGTCACGCGCGGTGTCGGTGTTGTGGTGATACGAACCGATACATATTAGATATTATTTGCTTGGAGAAACTAATTGAAAATCAAGCAAACGGAGGAAGAGGAAAAAAAAAACAAAACCAATTCACACTGGTGGTGATGGATTAGATTAGTTCGGGAAATTGAATTGAGATATGATGTGAAGTTTATTATCAATTTGTAAACAAAAAACAAACTACCTCGTTTGACGTCAATGATAGGATTTTTGCATAATTTACACGCTTTTTTATATGTTATCAAACCGCGTGCGCTTGATGTTTGTGTGTTTTTCTCTCTCTCTCTCTCTCTCTCTCTCTCTCTCTCTCTCTCTCTCTCTC